ATTTGAGAAAAACATAAATAAGAAAAATGGAACACACTTTTGAGAAAAGGAAAAAAAAAAATATTCATATATCAGAAGACAAAAATTTCATGAGAAAAACATCGAAGTAAGGAGGAAGCGCAAACTTATGCCGGGGAGAATGGTCTTTTCTTTATCGAAATTTCTGCAAAGACGATGCTGTCAGTTTGACACAATGAAGTCCAGACAACACCTTGAGTGTTAAAATAAGTATATAAAGTATAAAAATAAGGGTAAATTACAATAACTCATGAGGTATGATCAAATTACCAAAACACCCCTCTTGTTTGGGTTATTATAACCGCCCATCAACTATAAATCTTCTTACACATTCACTCTTGCAGTTTCAAATTTAGAATAATCTTCTAGATTATATGGAATATTCCCAATTTTGTAGCCATTTTATCCCATTCCAGCTCCACATTTTGAAGCAAGATGATCATAAGATGTATTTTTTGGCTTGTGTATATCAGATTGTGGTACATCAGAAACTGTATTTCTGCACAAAACGAGTACAAACTAGAGAACATTCCACGGAATCTAGATGATTATGTTAAATTTGACACCATAAGGGTAGAGGTGTAAGAAAATTCATAGTTGAGGAGTAGATGTAATTATCCAAACAAGAGGGGGAGTTTTCATAATTTGACCGTACCTCAAGGGTGGTTGTAATTTACCCTGAAAATAATTTTAAAAAATCAAAAGCAACCATATGAAATTCAACCACATTTGAACTATGGTCACAAAATTTAATTTCCATGCACCCCAATATAATTGATGGCAATCCTAAACAGAAAACAGATAAATAAAAAGAAACGACCGTATGAATAATTGAAAAAAAAAAAAAAAAAAAAAAAGAAAGAGTACCTTGCACCAAAAGGCGAAATCCCTCGCCCCCAGGGCCCCATCCCTTGGCCCGACAAGGATTGATGGAGGAATGTAAATCATGGTAACTCAACGGCCCGTTAAGGTAGCGGACCCAGACCTGGTGCCCACAATGAACCAACCCTAATTGGAGTTGAAATTCCCACACTGCGGCTACCAGGATTCGATCCTAGGACCTTGCACCAACTTACCACATCCGGAACCAGTTGAGCTACACCCATGCGGCAAAAAAAAAAAAAAAAAAAAAAAAAAAAAAAAAAAGTACCTGTTGAGATGCGTAAATGTGTTTGAACAACGAGAGAAATTTGTCACAAGTTCTTGATTGAATCATAACTACAACGATTTTTAGCAGCCGACTGGAATTTGAAGAAAGATGTGAAAGAATCCAAAAAGCAACGATTTCTAGCAGCCTAGAAACGTGGGTAGATGGAGATGCCAGCGGTTTTTTTGAGTCAGATTTTGGGCACCTAGTTTTTTCGGAGGAAGAAAACAACCCATAAAGCATAAAAAAAGGAAAACAAAGAAGAAAAAAAACGACTCGATCGTGTATGAAAAAATGGTTAATTAGGGAGACCCTTCAAAACACATTTGCTAATAGTGCTTGCCCAAACAATTTCTTTACCATTTTTTGATAACCCCTCGTATAGATTTTAACTTAACATAACTCATAAATCTATAACAAACACATGTATACCCTCACTACTTCACCAATATTGTCTCATTCTCTCTCTCCCAAGAAGTTGGAATTCCTCGGCGCATGTTGGATATTTGATTAAGTGATAAAAGTTTATTTGATTTTATTTTTGAAGAAAACATATTTTTTTTTCAATTACCCGATATGATTTTTATTTTTTCGCACTTTGCGGAATTAGGTTGGAGATTGAAGAAAATAACAATTGAATTTGTTATTTTGCACGCCGGAAAAGAAACCCAATAAAATATGAAGTATCATTTATTATTCAATTAAGGGTGCATTGTGAATGATTTATTGTGTTTTAAGGGTGCAAAGTACTATTATTGTTTTTCAAATGTGCAAAGGGCCAAAATGCTCTATTTTAAGGGTGCAAAGTGGGATTAAGCCTTTATATAATCAAATGTTTACACTAACAATGATGGGAAAGTAAAAAAATTAAAAAAAAACATTGAAATTAAACTAAAAACTTTTTTTTTTCCTTCTTAAAACTAGTATTTTGAAATGATAAAAATGATTTTAAAGATGTTGAAACATAGATTTTCTTACATATTCATCATTTATGTAATGGTTATTGGAAGAAAAAATATCATGTCATCAAAGTTAAAGTTTTATTATAAATTTAGGGTCCATTTGATATACACCCCTAGAATGGAAAATATATAGGGATAGGTCCACCTCTAAAATTTTGATAAGGAACGTCAAATTGGATTCGAGTTGCAAAATAACTATTTAATTCGGAGAAGAGTTATTAATGGGCATTGGTGGAAATATCGCAAGAAATTATGGGAAAATAAGGGTTTTCGACGAACTCAAATTGTATTTGAGTACGAAAGGAACTCTATCTCAAGTGAAACGGCGCAAGGAACAAAACTCATGAGCATAGCTCATGAATCACAACCAATTTCAGCAATCCAACGTCGTTTAGACTCCTAAAAGTTCGTTTTTGCTATTTTAGGTAAGTTTTAGAAAATTAATATCAAATCATAGAAAAATCGGATTTTGGGTTGTTCCCAAAATTACGAGATCTACTAGAATCAGACTCTAACTCGTTTTTGCCTTTTTTGGTAATTTTTAGTATTTTCTTATTTTAATTAGGGTTTCAGTTTTTTAGTATAAATAGATGCCTTAGGACTTTATTTTTGAAGAATTTCGAATTTTAATAAAATATTTAGAGCTTTCTCTATTTTTCTGGTGGATTCCAGAGTTTTCGGTGGATTCCGAATGTTATTTTGTTCTATAGGATTAATTCGTAAAAATTAATTCTTTACCGTGCTTCCGTCCTGCGTCAAATTCTTTCTTTGAGATACCCCCTGGAGATGCGAAAGGTGCGAAACGTAGAGACAACAACTACGTTGGCGATGACCGCGGGGTTGAGAAACTGCAAAATATGCCGTTAGTAACATTTTGGGCCTGCATTTATTATTTTTATAGATTATTTTAATAAAAAAATATAAATTCTTATTTTTTATATATATCGTATTTTGTATTTTTTTTAATTTTTAATGTTTTTAAATTTTTAATTTTTGTAATTTTTTTAATTTTTTTAATTTTTTTAATTTTTTAATTTTTTAAATTTTTTTAGTTTTTTTAATTTTTTTAATTTTTTTTTAATTTTTAATATTTTAACTTTTTAAATTTTTTTTTTTTTAATAAATTTACTGTTCTGAATTGACTATATATGACTACAGTATACCACCGTCATGTAATATGTAATCATATACTATCTTTTTACCCCAAAATTAATCTAAACCATCAACAAAATTCACAATTTAATCTTGATATTATAAATCAACTAACCCAAAAAAAATGAAAAAACACAATCACATGTATATAATCTTCAAAACATGAACACGCATTACTATACATTAAAAAACACATAACATACATATAAATATATGTTACTACACGTGACTATAGTTATATACAATTATCTATAGTTATATAAGTGGCATAAGTCTGGAGTACTGTAGCATGAATCCAACTTTACAAAGGCACTTCATCGAATTTTATTCTCTGCATGTCATAAAACTACAATAAAAGCAAAACCTGCGACAAAAAAATACGAGTTAAATAGCAAAATGGAACATGCGAGTTAGATTACATGAAAAATACAAAAAAAACATGATTTTTTTGTTGATAAATTTACTGAACTAAAATCGACTACAAATGACTATAGTATACTACAAGTCCTATATACAGTCATGTATAGTTACATGTAGTCATGACTATACATGACTACATGTGACTGACTATATATGACTGTATGTGACTAAATATAACTGTATATTCATCTGACTCAAATCATCCATGTAAGTAACCACCACTGGTTAGATTTCTATTACAGACAAACAAATCTCTCACACATTAGGCATTTCAAATCATCTTCAAATAAATACAAAAAATAAAATAAAAAAATACATATGATTTATAATAAAAAATCAAATTACATGAAAAATACAAAAAAAAAACATGATTTTTTTGTTGATAAATTTACTGAACTAAAATCAACTTTAAATGACTATATTATACTACAAGTCCTATATATAGTCATGTATAGTTACATGTAGTCATGACTATACATGACTTCATGTGACTGACTATATATGACTGTATATGACTAAATATAACTGTATATTCACCTGACTCAAATCACCCATGTAAGTAACCACTACTGGTTAAATTTTCATTACAGACAAACAAAGCTCTCATACTTTAGGCATTTCGAATCATCTTCAAATAAATACAAAAAATAAATTACATATGATTTATAATAAAAAATCAAATTAATCCAAAGAAAAATATTTTAATATTAATTGTTCACAGATCTTCAAAAACATAGTAGATCTGTGTTTTTTCTTTTTTTATAAATGCAGTAAATATACACAAATCGAACACCACCAATTCCAAATGTGAAATTCTAGATCTGACTACACATCGTCGGATCACAATTTAAAATTTTCGAATTTAGTTGATTTTTATAAAAAAAAACAATACAATAAGGTGAAATAGTGAAAATAATTCAGATCTTAAAAAATAAATTAAAAATGGATGGGCATTCATAAATTAAAAAAATAACTTAAAAAGGTGAAGTTGGTTTAGTACCGAGTTCAAGGCGGTGGGAGGAGCAACGACGGCCGGCACAAGGCCGTGGCGGAGCAGCGACGCAAGGCGGCGGCGGAGCAGCGGCGCAAGGCGGTGGTGGAGCAGCGACAACGCAAGGAGGTGAGGGGAGCAGCGACGGCGGCGGCGTAAGAAGATGGGGGAGCTAGCCGCGACGACGGAGAGTTGTGGGCAGCCACAGAGAGAGAGAGATGAAGAGTGAGAAAGAAAGAGAAGAGAGAGAGAGAGAGTTAGAGAGAGAAATGAAGAGAGAGAAAGAAATAGAAGAGAGAGAGTTAGAGAAAGAGATATGAAGAGAGAGAGTGGATAAGGAGTTGACCGCACAAAAAAAAAGGGGAGGAAGTGGGAGAAAAAGATTAGAGGTTAGGGTTTTAAATTATAACTAAAGGGCAAAATGGGTATTTTAATTTGTCTAGGGGGTCTATCAAATTAAGTTTAGAAATTGGGTTTTTGACTAGACAAGAAAAATACATAGGACCTATTCCTATATATTTTCAAAACTAGGGGGTTAACCCACATTTCCCCATAAATTTATTAATTGATGGGAGTTACGTATTACATTTGATACTTGAAGGGGACAACTGTTACATTTGTTACTTCAAGGGAGTAGACATCACAACCCCTATGGTCTAAAGGTGCAAACTGTATTGAATCGCAATTTATTTGACATCGTAATTAATTTAATGTAGAGTTTGGAGGTACAAATTACAAATTACAATGAAAATATCAGCATAGATAAGAGGCGTCCTGGACAAGCCCTTTTTTTATTACAGCCTCTTTGAAAACTTGAAGTGAGTTATGCAAATCATCGCAAATTTGATGAGGATTTGGAATCAATTTTTCATCGGCAGCGACCGCAATTACTAGCTTATTACCGTAGCTTTGGTAATTGATAACCAATGCCTACAACACCAATAAATAAAATAAAATTAAATAAAATAAACAAGTTATATATTTCTCATTCAGAAAGTATATATCATGATGTGTATGGGTAAATTACGGCCACCCCTGATGTAAGGAATAATTACGAAAAAATCCCTCTTGTTTGTATAATTACAACCAATCCATCAATTATGTATTGTCTTACACATCCACCCTTACAATGTCAATTTATCTAGGGGTGTTCATCCGGTAGGTAAACCGTTCGAATTGAACAGAACGAACATTCGTACGTGCCGATTACCGAACCGTTAATTCGGTGTGGTATTCAGTTTTATTTATTTTTTATATATATTTATACATGTAATATTACTAAAATTAATTAAAAAAATCAAAAATTTAAAAATCTTTAATAATTTTTTTGGTAATTAAGTTATTTATCGAACCAAACGCTAAATGGTATGAAATTTCGCCGCAATTTATGTACAATTTATCAACTGGAGGGTGTACGGTTTTTCGTAACATAATAACATAGTTGAGAGTGGTGCATATAATTATGCAAACATGAAAAGTGTTTTCGTAATTTGACCTTATTTCAGGGGCGGTCGTGTAATATTATGCCCTAATGAAGGAAATTTGTACTTACTAGAGGAAAGCCAGAAGCAGTTGGAGAAATGTAAGACAAAGGATGACCAAATAAATTGGTCTCTTCCTTTGGGCCGACCACATTTGAGAAACCAACTGTAGTTTTGTAGGAAACATTCTTCGCTGCTAGAACAGCTGCCTGTGTATCATAATATATTAATTAATTAATTAATTAATTAATTAATTAATTAATGGTTTAATACCACTTTGCATCCTTGAAATATACTATACTGACATTTTGCACCCTTGAAACAAATTAATAGCACTTTACACCCCTCAAAACACAAAATTATCATGCATAGTGCACCCACATGAGTTTTTAAAGCTTATAAAGGTAAGTTAATATGTTTAGTGGTATTTAAAAATTAGGGTAAATTACACCCACACCCCTGAGGTAGGCTTAAATAACTGTAAGGTCCCTATGGTATCGATAATTACACTCACCCCCTGAAACGTAGTTATAAACTTTAACGGGATAATGCATTGTATACGTTATTACGATAGAGTTCTAACGGACTATTGATTTCAGGAAGTGGTGGAGACGACAAAGAGTTATGGGTGATTTAAGAAATATTTTGGGAGGCATGTCACCCCATTACTCCCAATAACTCTATGTTATCTCCATCACTAGCTAGAAGTAATAGTCTATTAGAACCCTATCGGAATAATGTATCTAATGCATTATCCCGTTAGAGTTTCTAACTACGTTTCAGGGGGGTGACTGTAATTATCGATACCATAGGGACCTTACAGTTATTTACGCATACCTCAGGGGTGTTGGTGTAATTTACCCTAAAAATTATATTTTTTATGACAAAAAATATTTTACGAAAAAAGAAATTCTTTAGCTGTTTCATTATCAAGTTATCTGAAAATCATATTTTCTTCCAAATATTTCTACCTAATAATTTCACCAATTACAATAAAAGATCTATCAATCGAATAATTTAGTGATAAAAGTATAATTGATTTTATTTTCTAAGAAAAAAAAATCAATTATCGGTGTGTTTTTAATTTTTTTCGTACTTTGTGGCGCTTGAAATTAGGTTGGAGGTCAAAGAAATAACAATTTAATTTGTTATTTTGCACCCCGAAGAAATAAACAAAACCAATAAAAATGAATTATCCTTTATTATTCAATTAAGGGTGCATTGTGAATGATTTATTGTGTTCTTAGGATGCAAAGTGATGTTATTGTTTTTCGACGGTGCGCTAGTGAGATTAATCGACTAATTAATTAGTATAGTTAATTAATGGAGGAGCTACTAATTAAGAATGACAAAAAAAAAAAAAAATGAAATACCTTTGTTCCAAAAAAGTTGATGAGTAGCTTGAGTAGCACGTAAATACAATGGGGTGCAAGTGATAGCTTCTTTCGATCCATAGTTGACTTAGCTCTACGTATATAAGCTAAGGGTTCGTCTTCCAGAGCAATTGTTAGTGGTACAAGGACAATTCCTACCAAATTTCCCCACATTCCCATTAATTCCCTCTTCTCATCCATAACCTCAATCAAATCCTATATTTTTTATTTTAAATTTAATTTCACCAAAAAAAAAATATATATAATATAAAATTTTCTGAAAAAAAGAAATTAAAGATTTACACATACATACACATTTACCTTAACTGAAGGTGATGGCCTGAGGTTAAAAGAAATGCCTGCTCTAATACGAAGATCTTTCGGTAAAGTATTATTACTTTTCTTGATGATTTCACCACCATTTTCTGTATGTTTCTCTGTGGTGGCACCTATGAGAGAGAGAGAGAGAGAGAGAGAGAGAGAGAGTAATGTAACTTAAAATTCAACTTTAATTTTTTTTTTATTATTATTATTATATATATATATATATATATATATATATATATATATATATATATCATAGGCAATGAGTCGAAGTTTACCGTATCTGGTATTAAGGTAATGACTGAGACCAGCTTCTGTTACGCCCATCAAAACATCATTAACGCTCTGTATAATACGAACACATGGTAATAAGAAACTGTGAGTATTATATTGTCGTTCGTGTACAATTTTCATTTAAGTACCCTATGAATTAAATAAAATTATAAATTAATTTACACGTATTGCATTAATTAGGAGTTAAAGGATTAACTAACATACCACGTGCATTGCATTCTTGACAAGCTTAACATCGTCGAGATCGAAAATCCGATGAACAAATCGCTTGGGAGAGTTTTCGACCCCTCTTTCTCCTTTGATGGGAGTTTTCGTGTCTTTGAGAAACAACATTGTTGCCAAAACCATTATTAAATCAATCAATGTGTAGTAAATAATCAAAAATCCTGTCCAAAAAGACAAGAATAACCTCTTCATCACCACCAATATTCCAATATTGGTTTTTTGTTTCTTGGATGGCATAACCGGTAAATATTCGACTCCGGGGTTATTACTACTCCTCCTCATGGCAGCACAAGCCAGGACTAGGGAAATTAGTGACACGCCGTCGCCTATCGAATGGTCAATCTTGAAAACCGCGGTCGAATTTGCGTCCGATGTTTTCACATTTAGAATGTGGATTTCCCAAAGTGGCTTTGTGGGGTCCAGTGTTTGTCTCGATAGAGCCGACACGAATTTCTCCACGAATTCATCGGGCGATTCCATGTCCGGATCCAATTCCGGAGCAAATACGTGCTTTTCAATGTCTACTTTCGTTCGTTTCCACGAATACTTACCAAGCCTCTTATCCTTTTCAATCTTTAATAAATTCATACACGAAAAGAAAATAAATAAAAAATTCATTACTCAATACAAATTAAATTATATATATTATGAAATTGAACAACGTGCTTACGAGGAGGCTGGAGAAACGAGGATGTTTAACGAGGGTTTGCACCAACTCATTCTTGAATAAATCGATATCGATTATGGTCATGTAACCCATGATTGCGTATATACAGATGCCGAAGCCCGGCGTCTGCATTAATCGGGCACCTGGGCTAGCGGGCTCTTCTTCGTCCACTGTCATCTTCTTTTTGGTGTTGTACTAAACTGAAACATGTATATATTCCATTTATAGTTAAGTTCGGAATGATAACAGAAAGTATCAATCGACGAGTTTGTAAGTACTTAACTTCTACTATTAGAGTAGAGGGCTAGGGTTTGAATCCTGCCCACTTCCCCTACTTTCCCAATTTGTAACAATGTGGTGGGCAGTGGCTTGGCTTTTCAAAAACTCGGTCCAAAAAATACAATCCGGTATATGCTAGTCGGGTACCCAAAAAGGATTGGGTAGTTCATTTTTTTCGTTTTTCTTTTTTTAATCCTACTTGATTGTGTAATATTACTATTGTTCAACAAATGTAAACATAATAAAAAGTTAAAAGAACTAATATTACTGTGAGTGACAGTAATATTACCGTCAACCACAGTAATATTACAATAATAGACATTAATATTATTACGTTACTACATGAATAACTCAAACAAACAAAAAAATCCAAACAAAATAATAATATTGATGTGGTTGACAGCAATATTACTATAACAACAGTAATATTACCGCCAGCCACAGTACTATTATTGTGTTTACAGTACTATTGTGTTTTACAGTAATATTACAATAATAGATAGTAATATTATTACGTTACTCCGTGTATAACTCAAACAAAACAAAAAACCCAAAAAAAATAATAATATTGATGTTGTTGACAGTAATATTATTGTGTTTACAGTTATTTTACTGTCAACGACAGTAATATAATTACGTTGACTTGTCAACAAATCAAACAAAATAAAAAAAATTAACTAAAAATAAAGAATAATAATATTACGTTAATTTGCTGTCAACGGAAGAACAATTACATAAATGTATTGTCAACGACAGTACAATTACGTTAATTCACTGTCATTGACAGTATAATTATGTTAATTTACTGTCAGTTACAGCACAATTACGTTATTACGGTCAACGTTTAGCGGCGGATGTAAAAAAAATATTAAAAAAAAAACACTCAAAAAAGTCAATGCCGGAATCCGGCGGCAAAAAAAAAATCGAAATGTCAACGCCGAAATCCGGTGGCAAAAAAATTTTTGAAAAAAAAGTTTTTGAAAAATAAATCAAAATTAGATTTTTTGGTCAAAATTGGATATTTGTGGACATAATTGTTTATATTGAGGTTACAGTTAAGAATTGGGTATAAAGGATTGGGAATGATATTGACATGTAGGTGGAGGTTGCACAAAAACCCCGAATAAAATTAGGGAAGAATAATAGAGGGTAAAAGTAAAAGAACAAGTACGAAGATAGTCATAAAATCATAAGAATTATAAAATAGAGAAAGAGGGGAAAAACAATCTTATCTTATGAAAGAATAAAATTAATATATATATATATATATATATATATATATATATATATATATATATATATATATATATATATATATATATATATATATATATATATATATATATATATATATATTATGGAAAAAAAGAAGGGCAAATGGCAAATAGGTCCATGACAATGACATTTAGTTAAAAGAGGGACATTCAATTTTTTGTCTTTCAAATAAATCCAGCACATTCAAATTTATTTGAAAATTCTTTTATATATACCCAAATTATCCCCAATTCAGCTCAATTTCATCATTTACACTCCAATTTAGCTCAATTTCATCAATTAACTAATTTTAACTCTAATTTCAATTTTGACCCCACTTTTGACCCGCCACCACCGGAGACCGCAAGTCAGCCGCCGTTGACCGCCGGAGACCGTCGGTCTCCGGCGTTGACTTTATTTTTTTTAGAATTTTTTTTCCCGGTAGGTCAACCGCCGTTGACCGCCGGGTCTCCGGCGTTAACTTTTTTTTTAATAATTTTTTTTCATAAAAAAAATATTTTAATTAATACTACTGTCTTGACTACTAAATTACTGTCTCCAACAGTTATTTAACTGTCGGAGACAATCATTTAACTGTTAATTCACTTTTTTTTTCTTCAAAAATATTTTAATTAATATTACTGTCTTGGCTGCTAAATTCCTGTCTCCAGCAGTTATTTAACTGTCGGAGACAGTAGTTTAACTGTTAATTGACTTTTTAAAAAAAAAAAAAAAAAAAAAAATAGTCAACGCCGGAATCTGGCTGGAAAAAAAATATTTTTTTCAAAAAAAATATTATTTGGGGGTTCATGTGATATATTTGTTTAAAACTGGGGTCAATTTGTAATATTAAGGAAGTTAAAGCATAACGGATGGAATTGATAAGAATTATATTATGGAGGGTATTTTAGACAAAAAACGAGGGAATGTGTTTATTTGAAAAACTTCTTTTTATGGATCAATGTGCATTTAAGTTCATTGTGATTGACTTTTTTGTCATTCGCCCTATATATATAAATAGATTATGAAAAAAAGAAAAGCTAGCTAGGAGTTACCTTGAATTTTAAGAATCATGCACCTGCCTCAAATTGATGGTATGAATTTGTATATTCCGATCTAGAAAAGGCCCCTTCAAATTCCTAGTTCTGAAATTCCAAAACATTTCATTAGATTGAAATTAAAATTGCATGAATACACTTATACACAAATCAACAAAAGAAATAATCTACAACTTCCCGATACACGAAATTCCGATAAGATATTATTCACATACTGCTTCTATTTCTACCGTACGTGCTCATATTATTCAGAGCTAGACAAACTTCATATGCCGTTGATTTTTTTTTTTTTTTTTTTTTAATTCTAATCGATCGAGTTTGATATATATTAGATAGATTAGTCTGAGTACCAAAATTAAACTACTTTTCCCGAAACAAAATGGAAATAAGCCACAAAATGCTTCCAAACATTATAATATAATGTAACTAAAATTATTTGGAAATGAACTAGGGTAAATGATTAAGTACTAGCTACTTGATGAAATGAATGAAGGGTAAATTACAAACACCCCTGAGGTATGATCAAATTACAAAACACCCCCTCTTGTTTGGATAATTAAATCTATCCCCAACTATGATTTTTTCTTACACTTCCACCCTTATGGTGCCAAATTCAACATAATCATCTAGATTCCATGAAATGTGCTCTAGTTTGTACTCGTTTTGTGTACAAATACAGTTTCCGATGCACCACAAAATGATATATACAAGCTAAAAATCACATATTATGATCATCTTGCTTCATAATGTAGAGTTTGAATGGGATAAAACGGGTACAAAAGTGATAATATTCCATATAATCTCGAAGATTCCACTAAATTTGAGGAGTTGAAGGGGTGGTTGTAATTATCCAAACAAGATGTGTGTTTTTGTAATTTGACCATACCTCGGGGGTGTTTGTAATTTACCCAATGAATTAATTATAAAATACAAGAATAATATAATAATTTGACATGCATATTGTTAGCTATAATTATCATGTGCTCCAAGTAAATTTAACAAAAGAAAGAGATACGGTTACTTACCATATTGTTCAATTATCTCGATGTAGAATTCTTCTTACGACAAAAAGCTTTGTTTCTGAAATAGTAGTAAATGTGGGGGAACAGCAAAATGAAAGCTTTGTTATTATGCATAAATGTTGCTAAAATAAAATAAAATTTAAAATTTATTTCTAAAAAGAGATCTATCGTACTATATATAAAGAAAAAAAGTAGGTAAATATTAAAGAAGAAATACGGATACATTCATGCATGGGTTTTTTTATGAGAGAGAACTCGTGGTATGGTGGATCATTGGCGGATCCACTTGAGTGCAAGATTGAATTTTGGGGAAACAAATAATTATATATATATAATGAATATATATAAAAACAAAAGTGAAATTATATTGTAATTATGAGGTAGCTCAAGTGGTAGAGAGTGATTTGCTAATTGCGTTGTCTAGGTTCGACCCCCTGCCGCCATTTTTTACTAAATTCTTTTTGCATAATTCAAAAAATGTAAGGATTGTATTGAAAAATGCAAACTTCTACCACTTATTTAATATTTTCATCATTTGTTTTGTTTTTTCAAAATATTTCCAAAATTCTTATAAAATTGCAAACATTTTTTTTAGTTTTAATTTTGTTTACATATTTGTATTGTCTTATGTGTATACTATTAAAAAAAAAATTGGGGGCGCTGCCCCCGAACCCCCGTCAACTTTTGGTCAACCATTTTTATTAAATGTTATTTATATTTTTTGTTATACTCAATTTTGAACACTCTTGGCAAAAAACCTGGTGTAACAACAAATTCTTATCTGCGATTTAAACAAACAAGAAATACTTGCACAAAAAAAATTTATTGAATTAAAATGATAAATATTGCGGGTTACAAACTCTAATTTTATCATCTGATTCTTCTCTCAAGAACAATATGCGTTTGACTTTGAATTTCGGAGTCGGGTCGTTGACTTGATCTTCTCCGGTTTTGATTTGGATTTGAATAACGTCTTCCGAGGGTCTTGCGACTTGAATCTCGGATCGAACGCTGAACTTTGACGGGTTTTTGATTTGAAGATCTTGGAGTTCTTGATGGATTTGGCCCTTCAATCTTCCTTCGATCTTGATTTGTTGAACTTTGACGGGTTTTGACTTGAAGATCTTGGAGTTCTTGATGGATTTGGCCCTTCAATCTTCCTTCGATTTGATGCCTTGAATTTGATGGAGAACGACTTGAATATTGTACAAAGAATTTTCTCCTACGGTTTTTCTTCTTCTTGAGTTGTCCTTTGAATTGTGTAGGGAGGGTCCCTATTTATAGTGGTAGAATAAGAGTCCTAGTTAAAGTCTACTTGATGACGTGGCGCGATTTGATTGGCTCTTTAAATTGATATTTATCTCTTATAACTTGGAAGAGAAGAAATAATCTTATTGGCCAATAATTAATTAATAATTATCCCCATGACTTATTTTGCAAGATAAATTATAATTTAATTTAGACACAATTTAATTGGCTAATTTAATTAACCAATTAATTAATTTTATGCGTCTACAAATGCCCCCTCGAGACTTGTTCACGCACAATAATCTTGGAGTGAATGAGTCTCGATAATTGTTCAACTTCAATTGTAGTTTGATCTAGCAAAGCACATATATCTTTTGAAATCATGATTGGACTTAGAGAGATTCTAAGTTGCCTACGTACCCTATAG